AACTGAATAATATTTTGTGAACTTCCTCACTAATTGAAGATAGTAGTATAGCTCTCTTCTGGACTTCGTTACTTATTCCGTTTGCAATGAAAAAATTTGTAAGTCTTGATTCAAATATTGTTATGTCGTTTCCAGATTCAAATGTTCCTGGTGAACCAATTATATTATGGAATTGAGTAATATTTTTGTTATCCTCACCCATTTTATAAATATTTTAATTTAATATGAGATGAGTTTCAAAATTTTTATCTTCGTCGCCAATTTGTTGTGTATTGTTAATATGAATAATAACACAAACGTATATTATAGTCTTTTATTGTGAAAAGTATAAAACGAACTGACGTACATATAAAATTGTCTACTTGCTAATGACCGATGGACAATCCCCACCGATCGTAATATGATACTTATGATTATTATTATTAATATAAACGTTTAGTATACAATGTAAATGCCGAATATGCAACAATCCTGAATAAAGTAATTATAAGAAATATGATTTATCTGTACGACTGAACGTACTACATAATAATATAATACCAATGTATTAAACAAAAAATTAGGTACTTACCTAGGAATAAAGAATGAGGCAAGGCTTTGTTCAATGTTCGCCTCTCAGATGTTCATAATATGAAATATGAACGTGAAACGACAATAAAATAAAAATATTATTAATATAATATTGTTGTTACTCATGATAATCAAATAATAACAGAAACACACAGACACCCAGTACAAGTAGCATGCATTTGGTTTTTACGGAAATAAAATTTATGAATCGTTATCACGGTTTAAAATAATTACGAATTCGATTTATTTATAGCTCATCCACACTAATATATTTTAATATTTCGGAGATCGATCACTAACTTCAAGATTATATTATGCAGCTATACTCGATAATAAAATCCTGTATGGAACTTAACAAAAGAGTTTTAAATATAAATTATTTTATTTTAAATAATAATTTCTAGCGGGGCCCTGAAAGCACGGCCCTCATGACCCCATGATCCTTGCTGATCCTCGTCATCACCGACGCCCGATCGCGCACGTGTGAGATGTACATTTTACCCCTCCCCGCCCACCACTTACGTTCGTGACGTATATTTTACCCCACCCCACCTCACCACCCAAACACGCAGGAAAAATAGGAAAAATGTATACATACAATCTAGGTAAATATTAAAAATACCTAGCTAAATACTTTTTTTCATAAAATATTAATTTGTTATAAAATAAGTTTAGTACCAACATTCATAAATTCAACTTTTTAGATTAGAAATACTTAATCACTACAACACTACATTAAAATAATATAATAAATAAAAAAATTAATAAATATACTATAAAAATAACTATAAATTACGACGCGAGACGTATTGATTTCTGAATTTTAATAATTCCATGAATACATTCATAGTAATACCAAATATTAAAATTGATATCCTGAAAAATAATTAAAACCTTTTTTTTTAGATATTAAAATTAAATGAATAGTATTAAAATAATTAACTAACATTTTATAATGTAGATGTTGGTATTATTTGTACTTAGTGTAATAGCAATAAATTTGCACTAAAATAATTAATTGTGAAAATAGAATACGTAAATGTTTACATATTTGCGATGATTGGAACACAACGGTTAATTCAATAAAAATGTTTCAATTAGTTATCAATCATATTCTGTATTCGTAGTCCTATACTAGGTCCTATGACCAATGTTCTGAAATGGTATTAAAACTTAAAAATATTAAAATATACATATAAAGTACTATGTTTCAAGTTAGATGATTCAACTTACATGGTATTTTCTATTATTCTCTGATAATCCAATTCACAAGTACAAGTTAGTTGAAGATAATTATATTATTTAATGATGAAACATAACTATCATTACTGGAATGGACCAAATCAATAGCTCCAAATGTATGTACTGTTGGAAAATAGTTAATAAAACTACCTATGACATTTAAATACAATAATTTAGGTAATTATTATTAATAATATTTAAAAAAAAAAATAGTATACCTTTATTATACCATTGGGTAGATGGTATTCTTTAAAATTTTCATGAGATATTTTTGAAAAACATCTCTTTAAGTTTAGGCCACTTGTGTATTATACAACATTGTCGCGGTTCAACATCACTGTATAAACACTCATTAAATTGCTTGGCATACAATGCATTAAAAATGGTTTCATATTCTTTTGAATTGTCTGTAAGGTTTTTTTTTAAGAATAATTGAGTTATAAAAAGTCGAAAATAACCTTATATTACGATTTGATACAAGGCAAAATAGGAATAGCGGATGTATCAAGTTATCAACGTGATGTAATAAATATAACACAAATTCAGAATGACAAACGTAATATAGAAACATTACAATTAATATGCGAAACACTAGGGGAAGGAGAACGGAAGTACACTTGGGTCACTGAGGGTAATACATTTTCCAAGGGAAAAATATGTACAGTATATATACAAAAGAGGAATGGCAAAACCGAGCAAATTAAATTAGATGTAATAGAATACGATGTAGTATTTTTAAATGAGAGTAAACGTATCGTAAACAATAACAGATTAATGCCGAAAAATATCACAGCAACGACAACTAGGTCAATCGAGTTCAACGTCACGGAAGTCAATAATGATTATAAAAACATAACTAGCACAGTAGGTCACACTACACAGGCAGCAAGGACCGGACATACAATCTCGAATTACGAATTAAATAATATTACGGACGAAACATCAATACAACACCGGAGTACCACAGAAATTGAACATATAATAAGTTACAAAACAACACAAGACAATTATTATATTAATGATGATGAACAAACAGTTGTGTGTATTCCAGATGAACGTGTAATTAATTACCTATAGTAGTATAAAATAGAGAGTTCAGACCGCTGATCCCATTATCCCATGATCCTTGCTGCCCATTACCCCCTGATCTCATGACCCCATGATCCTTGCTGATCCTCGTTATCACCGCCGCCCGATCGCGCACGTGCGCGATGTACATTTTACCCCTCCCCGCCCACCAATTACGTTCGTGACGTATATTTTACCCCACCCCACCTCCCCACACAGCAATTTGAAAACATTAATATTTTCACAATATTTGAATTAGGTTACACAGCAAATATTTTTTGTAGAATATTATACAGTTGTTTTGAAAATGTTTGATCACAAAATATCTAAACCCAAATATAGTCAAAACATTTTCAAATTATTACATACCAAATATTATACATCAATTTTTCTTCCTATATTTTGAAAATATTTGATCACAAAATATCTAAACCCAAATATAGTCAAAACATTTTCAAATTATTACATACCAAATTTTGTATATCAATATTTTCCATCCTAAATTTTAAAAAAATTCATCAAAATTTCTCACCTTATATTATGTGTATTAAATATTTATATAATTTAAAGTTATTGTTATAAATACCATTTTTCTAAAAAAAGTTATATTTTAAATATTATAAGTAGGTAAGCCTATATTAAAAATGAATAGTTATAATATATTAACTATTAATTTTGAATATACTATATATTTATTAAGTTACCTATATAGGTATTACTTTTTATCTTTTGACAACAATTTAATTCTTGATTACAAAATAGAATATTTTTCGGAGTATTTGATCGATGTATAAAAACCAAATTTCGGTTGAGTATAGTTTCAGTATTTTAAAGTATTTGATTAAATGTATTTATAAATACATAATATAAATTACTATACATTTATAATTTCGTAGACTACTTGAAAAATTAGAATTTTTGTGAAAAGACTAGGGTCATTTTCGCTTGTACCTATGCGAACTACCTACATATTATTTTTCCAAACGGCCTGCTGTTTTTCAAACTTATTGCATATTATACAGGCCAACAGCAGTTAGGCCTTATTTAAGAACTGCAATCATTTTATGGTAATAACTAATAAGTAATAACCATTTTACTTATTTTATTTTAAGGGTATACCTAGCTGGTAGTTTATATTATAATACCTAAGTACCTAACACATATAATATGTGTACTGCTGTACATTATTTTTCCGGCAAGGTAATTTATTTGTTGAAACATGTAAATTATTAAACTGAATAATAGTAAATCACGGTAATTTAATACTTGGACAAACAAAAGAGCAATAGAATTATTATAAACATGTAAAATTATGTTCTACTTTGATTAATGACGAGTATTAGCGTGAAGATTAAAATATTATTTTAAAGTTGTTGACCATAACCTACCTATTGTATTATAAGTTTTATTTTATATTAACTATACTAATACAAAAAAGAATCGTGGCATCGAATTTCGTGGCATTTTGTTATTTTGAGCTAGACAAGCGTATTTATTTGTTTGCACGATGTTTTGCTAAAATATTTTTGATATCCCTGCCCTCTAAATTGCGTAGGTATGTCTCTTCGTGTTTCTCTTAATGTTATAGTGTACTGTGTTGCGCTCAAAATGCCACGAGAAAACCACATATATTATGTAACAATAAGTAAATATTTTACATATTTAATATTGTAATGTAATATTTTTTGTAAAATTTCTATTTAATATTTTACATAGGTATTTTCTTTTTTGTTAGTAATATAAAATAAAACTAGCAGTACAATATAGTATAGTCAACTTTAAAATAATCTAGATTTCATAATGATACTCGTCATTGATCAAAGTAGACCAGTTTACATGTTATTGTAATTATAATATAAAATTATTATAATATTATAATATTTCTATTGCTCTTTTTTGTTGTGCAATAGTATTAAATTACCGTAATATACTTCAGTTTACATGTTTCAATAAATAGATTTTTTGAATTGATCATTATAGTATGGCTGCCAATCTGTTATCATAATTACGTTATCACTTATTGATGGTACAAACATTTTGATTTGTATTATCGTATGGTACCTACGGACGAGTGTAGTTTTTAATTTTAATTTTTTACGTTGTTGTTTAAAGTTTTGAATATGCCTACTGTTTGTGCAGTTTATGGTTGTACGAACAAAACAACCAATAAAAATGTATCCTTTTACCGTTTTCCCCCAAAAAAAAAAAAGTGCAGCAACAGATCTTCAAAAACTACTAGAGGACCAACGAAATATGTGGCTGAAATCCCTTCACAGACTTGATTTGGAGAATAAGCAGGTTGATGCTATGCGTATATGTTCTTCTCATTTTAAAAATGGTAAAGGTTTGAATAATTTATCAGTTAAATGTATTTTTGTAATACTTGTTATTTAGGTAAACCAGCTTGCTATACAAATAACAAACATCCTGACTGGTGTCCATCAATAAACATGGGCTACAATACTAATAAGGGTAATTAATCATTTTATGTTGTATAATAGGAAGTATTAGTTTTATATTTTTAATAGAAATATAATCATGCCATTTGATATTTTGATAGTTTACAATTTATAGTTCAATAACAAAAAATTATTATTTATTTTTTTTTAGGTTGTAAAGCTTTATCTAATGAACGTTTGATTTTATTTAAAACTTATATAGGTGCTGCGACTACACCAGATATCAATCGATACCATAGGGCTACTAAACGAATGGCACTGACACCAACCATTTTGTTTCCAAATGACTTGGAAGATAATACTGTTGTCACTGTTTCTAATTTAAGTGATGTAGAAAATATGGATATAAGCATGGAAACAGGGACGTCAACTTCAACAACTATGACCATGGCTAATATTCAAACACTAGAACAAGAAGTAGTAACGAAAGATTTTGTAATCAACAAACTTACTTCAGAAGTAAATTATTTAAATTTAAGTGAAGAGACATTTAATGGTCGTCCTAAAATGTTAGCATTTTATACTGGCCTAGAGAGTATGGATCTTTTTTTATTAATTTTAGAGGAAATTAAACCTGCACTAACTTCTAGTAACCAAAGATTAACTGAATTTCAAAAACTATTGTTATGTCTTATGAAATTAAGGTTAAACATGCCATTTGTTGATTTAGGCTATAGATTTAATATCACTTGTGGTACTGCTTCAATTATTTTTCGTAAGGTTATATTTCTTTTGGAGCATGCATTTAAAAAACTAATTTACTGGCCAGACAGAGAAGCATTACGTTATCTAATGCCACGTTCATTTTTTAATGCTTTTGGTAACTCAGTTGCGGTTATCATTGATTGCTTTGAAATCGAAATTGAAAAACCTAGTAATTTTAGAGCTAAAGCACAAACTTGGTCTTCTTACAAAAACAAAAATACTGTTAAGTATTTGATAGCTATTACACCCCAAGTGGTAGTATCATTTATATCTGAAGGATGGGGTGGTAGGGTTAGTGACAAACACATAACTGAAAACTGTATGTTTTTAAAAAATTTATTGCCAGGGGATGTAGTACTTGCAGATAGGGGATTCACTGTAAGTGAGAGTATAGGTTTTCATTTTGCTACTTTGAAAACACCTGCCTTTACAAGGGGTCTTCCTCAATTACACCCATGTTCTATTGAAGAAACAAGGAAAATAGCATCTGTTAGAATACATGTAGAGCGTATAATAGGACTTACTAGATCTAAGTATAAAATTCTTAATGGCCCTGTGCAAATTACAACTCTCAAACACCAAGATGACAACTCATGTTTGTTAGATTCAATAGTTACAGTTTGTTGTGCTCTCATTAATATGTGCAGTTCTATTGTACCATTAGATTAAAAAATTAAAAAATGTTTATCTATAATATATAAACTATAAAACTGATTTTACTAATTCTCTTTTTGTTGTGTTTGTTATTATCAAGAAAAAGTTCTTATGAGAGAAAATTTTAGAAAAACCCACTGGAAAAGTAGGAAATCTGGATGGCAAACATTTTTAAGTTTTGAACACCATATACTGAATATTAAATAACGAATTGAACAATAAAGTGATTAATAATATAAAACAATTTTAATATTTCTATTTTATTTATTATTTACAGTTTGTACATTTCCATTTTTTTAGTTGTAGGCTTGCGTTTGATTCCAATGCAAGTATAATGATACCACAAGTTTGCGCATCCTTCTTTAGTACACATAATCATTTTCCCTCCTGTATCATTTTTGCATGTACAGTATTGATATGGACCACTTTTACTTACCACACTTTCTTTTAGTTTACTTTTTTCAATGGATTGATTATTAGTATAAAACCGACCAAGCAATTCAGGCAGAATAATTTCATAAAAATATAATTTTGATTTGCTTGTAATTTCATTGCATATTTCATAATCAATATTAACACGTTCTATATAATAATTATTAGGTGACCATATAATGAAATCTCCATACTTAAAACCACCTAAAAACATTTGTGTTTGTATCTGATAATGGTATTGATGTATTTTCTTAAGTTTCCCATTTAATATACAGTCAAGATTTTCAATTTTTTTATTTTGTGTTAGACTATATGGACATTTTATTTCCAAGACACCAGTTCCACAACAGTCACAATTTGTTATACCATCCGGACTTGCACCAATGAATGGAAAACATGGATTTATAATTAGTCCACTATTTACAACAGAAAAATGTATATGGTCATTTTTTAACTTTTCACTATAAAAAGTTTTAGCTTCATTTTCATGTGTGGTTCCCCATACAGTGGCTTGATTTTTAAAAGTGTTTTCTAATGGGTAACATATTGTCCTAAGAAGACTTTTACTTGAGCTGCATGTTTTTGTGAAACAGACTTCTTTAACTTTTGAAGCAGTTATACGGCCGCTTCTATAATAAAACCATTTTTTACACTCTGCCTGTTGTCTAGTTATAAGTTCAATATTCTCACATTCATCTTTGGTCAAAGAAAAGTCTAGTTTAGAACCTAGGATTACAAGATCTTCCTTACTTAGTAAAACATATTCATCTTTATACATTCCCACATAACTTTTAGGAAATAAGTCAGTTTTAAATTTTAAATTAAAGGGTGGTATAACCTTTAAAATTGCAGCATTGCTATTAATTTTCTCCAGTTTAGTTAAAAATGAATTTAAATGTTGTGCATCATTAATAGTTGTTGGAAGGTTTTTAATATAATCAGCTTTAGTTTTAAGTGACTTGGGGTGGTTGGTGCCTATTTTTTTTGGTTGATTAAAATCAATTTCACTGATTTTTTGTGAACTAACATTTGTGTTAGATGGAACAGTCCAGTACGCAGATACATCAGTTACAGACTTCTTTGTATCATTTTTTTTAAGAAATCATATTGCAAATAAAAAAGCACAGCACCAATATGCGAGCAACATTCTCCAAGCCCAGCTATACATGTACAATGTGCTGCTACAACTTCTCCAGAAAACTTTAAAACAATCCATGGCAACAATTTAGCATCATTAAGCCTCTGTGAATGTGCAACCTAAGTAATATATACACTAAAAAAATATTGAATCATGCAACCTAGCTAAAAGCAATTTGATTTAAATAAAACTAATTAACAGTTTATACAAAACATATGTAATAAGTAAGCTTTAAAGCATTTACAGAAATATTTAGATAATTTTTAAATGGATTAAAAAATATTTAAATGGCTATAAGCACTGTATTTGAATACTAGGTAGTTCTTAGATTTAAAACAATTTTTAAATAAATTGATAATTATAAAAAATCAAAAAGCAAAAGCAATTTAAAAAAAAAATCTTTACCTCTGCAACAACTAGAACAACATCATTTGTAGCATACCATTTAGTGTTATAAATCCACCCACTAGCAAAAAAATTATAAGCTTCTAAGCTTTTGAAAGCTTTAAACTCGTCAAGCGTATAAGCACTTTTAGTAAGAACAAGATAATTAAAAATATCAGGGTAAGTTACTTCTGGAACTAAATCTAAACTATTGGTCCACTGTATACATTGATCCTTCATTAAAATGTAGGGATCACGTAAACTAAGTACACTTATTTTTTTAATGTACCTCTCCTGAACATCTTTAGCTAAGCCTCTAGCGTGATTGCTTAGACGATGTGTCATGTTTATAAAAAAAATTAAAAACACTAATTAATAACCTGGTTAATACTAAAACTTAATACTGCGAATAGAATGACAAAATAAATTATTTTGTAATGCTGAATAGTGAATAGTGAAAAAAAAACAGTGAGTGTTGTTGAACACTCGGCAGGAACGAAGTTCAGTAAATGTGATGCGAGACGCGGAAACATATATGGTTAGAAAAATATAAATAAATAGTGATAGAGAGAGAGAGACAGAGAGAGAAATGAATGCTTGTATAAATATATCGCGCGCATGGTAATAAAATTATAATAAATTTTTTCTGAGTATTATGAAAAAATGGTATTTTAATCATTATAAAAGTACAAAGCAATTATGAAATTAATCAGTAGGCCTAACGCGTCGACTGCGGCGCTGGCAGTCGCGGGTTCGCCTCTCGACCACTGGGCGGCATTTTTCTCCGGGCAAGTCACGGTGTCCGGAGTACAAGTGCCGCCATCCCCCAACCCGGGGCATGGCAGAAACCTACGGGTGCCCCAATAAAAATTCTGCCACCACAAACACACACGTGTACTACCTACCCAATCTAAAAACCTACAGTTCCCTCCCAACACCCAATGGCCTATGTTGCCGCGGGTTATCCAATAAAAAGAAAAAAAAAAGGTGGGCAAGTGGGTGTCGCTCTGCTGTACAGTAGGTTACAAGTGGGTCACTGTATAATGGATGGTATTAAATTTGAATTCAATGATATAATATCATTGTATAAGAAAAACGATTCTGAGCGGTGACGGTATGTCAGTCTATGTATAAGACATATTGATATTATATACATATCTATGGTATTAAACAAAAAATTGACCTATAATAGGTACCTATAATAAATTCCAAATTAATCATATCACAATATCCATTAGATACTTATAACACGTTATACATCAACAAAAACCGTGATACTATCATAGATATATAATAGTACACTTTAGAAGTTTCAAGTACCCACGAATAATATTATTCAATCACAACAAAATAACTAAAATAGTTATTCTAGGTTTTTTAATATGTAATTTCGTCCAAATTTGAATTTAAAATGTCTGTAAAAAATAAGTGTGTTCATATATTTTTTAGATTTTTTGGTTACAGTATGAACTATTTACGAGAACCTTTGTGTTGAATTTGCAATCCTTAGCTATAAAAACTGAACATTTTATAATTTATTAATTACAATGATTGATAATTTTCGAGATTTTGATAAATTTTGTCAAAATTTGATCTTTAAATGCTTATAAAAAAAAACTGTGCCTATGTATTTTTAATATTTTTCAACTGCTATTGTAACAATATATCAGGAGCCTTGTATTAAATTTTTACACTTTTTGGCCCAACAGATAAAACTTTATTGATATTTATAGAAAAAAAAACTAAAAAAAATTGAAAGCTGTAAATGTCCATAAACATCTCAAAAAGAGTCAAAATATTTTCAAAATTGTATGGTGTATAGAAAATGCTAATTTAAACATTGAGTGAAATTTTCATGTATCTACAGTTGTTCGTTTTTGAATTGCAACAAAATAAGGAAATCGCTACATGAGTAATCGAGTGAATATCCAATGTTGTAAAAATTTGAATTTCAAACGCTCATAAAAATTTAACTTGACTGTCCGGTAGAGATTTTTTTATTGATAAAGGTAGATAATCTTATAAGGAATCTTGTGTTTCATTTTCAAATCTTAGATTTAAAAAGAAAAATTTTTACGAATTCTTAACTCAAAATAATTTGCTAATTTTCGTGATTTTTCCATATTTTGTAAATTTTTGAACTTTAAATGCTTATAAAAAAAAATTGTGACTAAGGATTTTTAATATTTTTCATCTGCCTTTAAAACAACATATTAGGAGCCTTCTATTAAATTTTCAAGCTTTCGCAACCAACAAATAAAATTTTATTGATATTTCTAGAAAAAAAAACTAAAAAAAAATGGAAAATGAAAATGTCCCTAAACAGTTCAAAATAAATCAAAATATTTTGAAAATGTTATCGTGTATAGAAAATGCAAATATAAACAACCAGTGAAAATTTCATGTATCTACGGTCATTTGTTTTAAAGTTACACCAAAAACCAAATTCGATTTTTTGGAAAATCGATTTTGCGTAAAAATTCCCGTTTTTCCTTAATTTTTATGTTGTTTTTCCCGGCGCTTGTGAAAACTACTGGAAAATGTTTACTTTTGACCCCCCAAAGTACCAACTAGATTCACTTTCCTATCAGAAAAGGTACTATTAAAGAAAATCGAAGCACTTTTACTGTCCCAAAACGTGATGACAGACACAAAAATATAAAAATATAAAAATATAAAAATATAAAAATATAAAAACACACATCATTGTAAAACCAATACATTCATCGCTCCGCTCAGAATCAAAAAAAAAAAAAAAAAAACCTATTGATGGTTAAGTCAATTCTACTGAAAGAAATTTTAATAATGATACGGTTGATACAGCTTGTACTCGATTATCGTTTTTCAAAAGTAAATTTTAATTTCATTTGTTTAATAGATTTTTATGTATATAGAGAAGAAGGTAAATGGAAATCACAATGGAATTTATAAATTTAAGGGGCAAAAAAAATTATTTTGAAAATAAAATTCTTATCACTTTCCTTATCAATAAAAACAATATTTATGAAAATCCCAATAAATCCCATCAAAAACTCAAAACCCCGAGTTTCCCCTTGGCGAGGTGGGTGTTAGTACTCTCCCGGACCAAAATCCATCAAAAAAGCAAAATCCAAAAGGGGGGAGGAGTTGCCCCCGTTCCCTAAAGCGGAAAACTGTAGTCTTCATAATAAGAATGGGTTCCCCCTTGGTCCGAGGTCTTTAACTTGAATTCCGGCCGAGTTACACTCAACTCAAAATGTGGGGGGGTGGGGGCTTTGGTTCCCTAATGTTGAAAATTCATCTGGGGCCTAAAAAATTGAGATGCCCATTGGTCCGGGGTCTCTAAGTCGAATACCGGCTAAGTTATGCTTCGTCAAAAATAATTACTCGTTTAATGGGTCCCCCCCCCCATTCCGCCCGACGGTCACCTCTACGCGCGTGACGACCGATGTTGGGTAGCCTACGCGAATGGAACCCGGTTGCCAGATGGTACGATCCTAGTGGGGACATACGATAATATGAGAGGAGGGAGGGGATATGTAAGCCGGCAGCCGAGCAGAGCCGAGCCGAGCCGAGCAATTTTTCAGTGTTACGCTTTTCGGTGTTACGCTTTTTGGTGTTGCGATTTTTTTCCAGCGACTCCCATCCACCTAACGCCCCATAAGGAACTTCGTTCCAATAATAATAGTAAATCATGACTAAATAAATGAAACCCGGCAAATAATTGTACCATCAATAAGTGATAAGAAATAATTTGAGTTTGAACCTAACCTAAATCATAATTATCAATTTATTGAATTACCTACTCAATATAATATAATATTGAATTATAGAATAATGGCCAGTTATCACGGTCAACATAATCGCTTATTTAATATTATATAATTATTCAACCAACTACCAAGTATTGGCGTAGTATAGGTACCTATACTACCTACAATACAATAACTGTGGTGGCGTATATCACACTCGTGATTTGTGGGTTTTAATTTTGTTTATATAATATTATATATTATATAAATTATAATTAGATAGGTACAATACAACGCACGAAGGTTGTAGCGGGGCATCGCGATAACGACGATGAACTGTTATAATAATATAATATATTGTATGGATTGTATAAATATAAATAAGTAAACATTAAATTCGGGGAGTAGGTATCGTGTTATGCTCGACCCGCATACCCGATCGGCGTTTGGACTTTGGTCCGGCATTTGTCGCACGACGAGAACTGGTCTGCGCCTGCTTGCGATGAGTGTTTTCACTACAGTTACAAACGTTTTAGGGCCAGTTGTACCGTCTTCGGTTAAACAGTGATTAAGATTTAATCTATGATTAGTGATGTTGGGTCGTTGTACAGTGCCGGTTAACCTTCTAATCGTCGATTAAAGGTCTGTTAAGTTAACCAGCCATTCGACCGCGGTTAAACATTGATTAGTTAATTTTCGATGAGAGGGGGAATATAATTCGTTATCATTTATAGTAGTTATCACTCATCAGCTAAGACAAAATGTTCCGATTCTGATCGTATTTGGATTTCAAGTTTCAACCGTTTTACGTTTGTCAAATAGTGTTTGATTTCGATTTAAATGCGCATTAAACTGAATACTAGTTTTTATGATGATGTATAACAACAGTTCGTCTGAAGATGCTTCAGATTTTGAAGATGAAGATTTTGATCAATTGACTTTAATGATCGCATTTCCTAGAAATCCGAGAATCTTCAGACATCGAAAACATCATTTTACCTATTGGAGAGATGATGAATTCTTCAACAGATTTCGATTATCGAAAAATACAGTTCGCTTTATTGTCGATCTAATAGGTGATCGCATATGTTCCCGTACCGATTGGTAAGTTTTTCCTAATTGTTATTTTGAAATACATTATCATTTATAAAAAATATTATTATTAATAGTTTAAACATTTATAATAGGAATAATGCTGTGAGTCCAGAAGATAAGGTGCTCCTAACACTGAGGTATTATGCAACAGGATCAATGTTAATTGTATGTGGAGATTTCATTGGCATTCATAAATCGACTGCAAGTCGTATTGTGAAACTTGTTTCACATAACATTGCTATATTACGTCCTCAGTTTGTCAATTTTCCCAACAATGAAAATGATTTAAAAAAAGTCAAACAAGATTTCTACAACATAGCTAAATTTCCAACGGTTATTGGTGCATTAGACTGTACCCATGTCAAGATTAAATCACCTGGAGGAGATAATGCAGAAGTATATAGAAATAGAAAGAATTTTTTCTCAATCAATGTACAGACAATTTGTGATGCAAACTTAAAAATTCAAGACATAGTAGCTCGATGGCCTGGTTCATCTCACGATTCTACTATTTTCAATAATTCAGAAATACGAAGGAAACTAGAAATTGGCGAAATGAGGGACTGCGTTTTAGTTGCTGATAGTGGCTATGCACAACGTAACTATGTTATGACTTTGGTTGGAAACCCTAACACAGTTATTGATCCAGCCTCTGGTATTTATGAAGAAGCTGTAGCTAAATATAACGAGTCATTAATTAGGACTAGAAATACTGTTGAGAGAAGTTACGGTGTTTGGAAACGTCGGTTTCCAATATTAGCTACAGGAATAAATGTAAAAATTACTTCATCACAAAGTATTATTGTTGCTACAGCAGTATTACATAATATAGCCTGCAATTTTGGAGAAAGCGTGCCTAGAGTTACAACCGAAATAGAATCGTTAATTTTAATAACAGAATTTAATAACCCAGGCGAAGGTATAGGCAGGAATGCAGCCAACATTACAAGAAACAAGTTCCTTCGCTATTTTAACAACTTAATTTGAGCGGATGCCTTTACAGTTACATTTATTTATCTTTGAATTTTTAACTGTGTTCCTTTAACATATAATTGTATACATTTGTAAATAAAATAACAATACAATTCGAGACAAAAAAAAAATGTATTTATTAAAAATTTAAATGGTTGTGACTTACAAACCAATAACAAGAATTAATATTTATTATGAAATGTTAATGAATTAAACAAAACAAAAAAAAAAAAAAAAAATGAATAACAAATAATCACTAAAATAGATGACTTAGATATTTTAATAACATTTTAATGAATTAAACAAAATAATTAATAACGAATAGTAACTTTAATAAGTGACTCAGATATTTATATTGGAATATTTTATTTTTTTAGCTGCTTTTTGCATTTTTAAAATGTCATTTGTCAGTTTCAAATTTTCAATTTCAATTTTATGTTTTTCAGTCATCATTTGTAGTTCCAAATTGTGTTTTTCTTGCTTGAGA